ATAAATAAATAAATAAATAATAAATATAATAAATATTATATTTATATTATATATAAATAAATAAATAAATAATAAATATAATAAATATTATATTTATATTATATATAAATAAATAAATTAAAAAGTCCAAGAAAAAGTTGAAGCAGCAGCTCAATGAGACACATTCAGTTTTCAGTCAGATGACGACAGAGAGTCACACAGCAGAGACCAAAGTCCTGAACAAGTTTTAATTTAATTTGGCAGAAAGTTCAGGAAGTTGGGTTGGTGGTGGCTTTATCCATCTTTTAATTGCCTTGTGGGTTTTTCAGCATCTCAAGCTTGGTTTGGCTGCTATCGTGGAGCCTGTGCTACAGTCGCTCTTCTGTAGGATCGAACTGCACAGTTCGCCCTTTGCTCTCTGCACACATCAGAAACTCCTGACGTCATCGCTGGTTTTTACTCGTTGTTCATGCTTTTGGTACAGTAGGTATGAACCACTGGACAGGACCTGCTGTTTCAGATACTGATCCATGCAGCCATCACGTCACACTTTGGGCGTCAACAGTCACTTGAATCCTTGTGCTGCTATTTTTCCTCCTTCAGTGCGTTAACGTTCATCTTTCCTTCCTATTCAGTTCCTTCATGCAGCCCAACACCTGTCACTGGTTTTATGATGGTGGGAGTTTAAAGCGAAGAAGTCTGCATATCAAGAAAAAAGATGTTTAGCTACCTTAGCTCATCTACACAGAACTCAAAAGTCTTTGAGAAGGTTCATGGTTTCATTTTAGCTCAGAAACAGAAGCAAAGTGCTTGAGCTCATTTTCGGTTTGCTGAAGACGGTTAAAACACGATCAATGAGAAATGCTCACTGTTTGTAAGGACGGCAGCCGAGAGGCTCGTTAATTAACTCAAGATAGAACCAAAATGTATAATTTCCACAGTTTCGTAGAGAACAGAGGAGGCAAACACAGGGTTAACGCTCAGTATGAGCAGGTCTGATTGTATGTTTGAAGTCATTTCCTCCCTCAGCTGTTGTGAATTGCTACTTCTTGCATGAAGCCAGCTGCTGCTCTGCATGTGAGTGTTTAAGTTTGTGTGTCTGCGCGCACACACACACAC